AGAGTAATTGGTCAGAGGACAAAAACACACAATTCCAAAAAAAATGCCTGCAGTGCTATTTACAGTATCAAAACTGGTAAAATCTTCAATTTAAAAAAATTTAGAAAGTGATTAAGCAAAGTATGACATATTTATTCAATGGAAATTAAGCATACATTTGAATATGTTAACATTTTAATAGGCACCAGGCTATAGCATGGATAAATCCTTATTATTTTAAATGAAAAAAGCTATCAATACAATTACCTATCATATATGTAAGTGTGTGTGTGTGTGTGTGTGTGTGTGTATGTATAAACCACCTCATGCCCCCCGCTAAAAGCCTAAGCATAGCAAAATCCTGGAAGGTTTGTATATTAAAATGTTAGGGTTTTATTTGCTGTTGGGGCTGTGTCTGACTCCTCTTTTTCTACTGTGTTTCTATTTTTCTATAATGAGAATGCATTGTTTTAATAATGGGGAAAAAAAACCAACAGTAAATCAAAAGAACAGAGAGGCTAGAAGCAGCATGCAGAGGCTTTTTAAATTAGTCTGGTTTAAGGTTAACACTTACTGTAAACTGTTCGATGTCTCTCTCTAGTCCCACATTTGGCAGATCAGGCATCATATGAGACACAACTTTGAAACCAGAATCTTTGGCCAGGTGAAACGACTCACATACTGCCTTCACGGTGTGACCCCTGAGGGAAGAAAACCCACTACCTGTTACACAGATAAACGGGCAACAAGCTTAACACAAGGAACAGAGGAGAAACAATCACTGAGACACGAAACAAAGGATAATATGGTTGGGGAAAGGAAGTCTCAGAAAGTCATTTTTTATGTCCATCTCTGAGAAGGCCTGGAAGTCAACCATTGTTACTTCTGAGCTATTTCTNACTGAGCAACACATCTAATTCATCTATTCTGACATAGTCATTTCCTGTGCTGTATCATCCCAGCTGGCTGCCTTATTTCTTTATATGGGATGTAGCAAGCAGACACCAGACATTCTCCTTTCCATGACTTTGCACTGCTAATTTGTTCTTATCTTGATTTTGCATGATACGTGATGGAAGAATGAAGGTGGACTCATACAGTTCCGTCTCGCCCCCACCCTGGCATGAACATCTATACAGCCAGCTGTACTATATTTTGTGAACTATAAATGTGCTTTTTATCTTATGCTATGCTGTTCTTGCAGAGCCTTCCATTGTTTAACTTGCTTTTCAAAGAGATGTAACTATAGACTTGTTTTTATCTCTCATTGATTTCTGTTGTATTCTTAAATGCTTTGTGCACCACTGGGTCTTACGGATATTCTTCTGTAATTGTGTGTAATTTTCCCTATAACATTTATATATTAAAGATTCATGAGGTCTTTAATATTCTATAGTCATCAACAAAGAGCATGTAGGCAAGTCATTCTCTACCTAGTTTGAATCCACTGGAACATGGATTTCTGAAAAGTACTTCTGGTACTTGTATAATAAATTTAGGAGACATATGGGCTGATATGCTCCTTTATAAGAATGACGATAGATGAAATTGGTTCTGGGCTTTTGGTTAAACTTGGAGAATTAAAATCTGTTTCTTTCCTTTCCCTCCCCAAACATACTAAAACAACAGGAAAGAATTTTTTTAAAGGTATAAATCCAGGAGAACAGAGAACATCAGAGGAGACAGGACGTAAACAAGTGATGGCAATAAATTTTTGGAAGACAGGAAATAGAAGACTAGTAAATGACTTTGCAAGTGAAGAAAACTGCAAACAAAGTTTCTGCAAAAGGGGACAGATACCAATGAAAGGCAAGCTCAGTCACACCAGAGTCCCAGAAAGGCTCATGGACCCAAGTACCAGGAACCAACTGGGTGGGATGGAAGAGAGCACTGGATCACATCTGTACATGGAGGGATTTATCCCTTATCCCTTTCCACAGGCAGGCACCTGCCTGTTTGCTCCCTGGAGGAATGGAAAGCTGCTGGACTCCGAGATTCCAGGTACAAAGCAAGTCCTAGGTGAGGATTAGGGTGAAGACAGGGAGACTAAGTGACAGGCAGCAAACTGACCAGTGGACTCCCTGTCCTGCTCCCTTGACACCAACAGTCGATTTTCTGTGACCTACGCACTACCCACCCAAGCAGCAAGTTGGAGCGTTCACCTCTGGATCAAATGGCCCTAAATGAGGGTACTGACATTTGGGAATTCCCTAAGGAAAGGAGAGCTTATTCCATGAACATCCTTCAGTGAGGCATACCAGCAGCTAGCCACACAGAGCTGGTTTTTCAGCCCCTCACTTTTAAAGTAGGGCTTGGTTAAGGATCACCAGAAACTTAGGGAAAGCCAAGAACATAAAGGACAGACCAAAACAAAAACAAAAAAAGGAACCTAGAGGGAAACTGAGGCATTGCATAAAGGAAAATAAAACTTTAAAAAACCCCCCAAAACCCCAACTATATTAATTCCTTCAGAGAGATAAGATGTATTACATCCATAAAACAAGAACAGCACGCTAGAGAAAATAAAACAGCCAGAATATAAGAAAGAACTCTTGGAAATTAAAACTATACCAAAAATGAAAATATATAGAAAGGTTGAAAGATAAAGGTGAGAAAATAATAAGAAAGCAGAAAAAAGGCAGATGAAAAATAGAAAAGGTAAGAATATTAGATGATAATCTGGGAGATCCAACATTTACTTAACAGGAGTTTTAGAAGAGAACACAAAAAATGAAAGGGGGAACATTATCCAGCCCTCTGTATCCGAGGATTCTGCATCTGTGAATTGAAAATGAAAACAACAACAATGACGACAACAACAACAAATGCTATGTTGTTACTTATATGCGGTATGTAGTGAGGCCTATGATGGTTGCATCTGTACTGAACATGTACAGACTCTTTTTTCTTGTCATTATTCCCTGAACTATATAGTATAACAACTATTTATGTAGCATTTACACTGTATTAGGTATTATAAGTAATCTAGAGATGATTTAAAATATCTGAGAGGATGTGTGTAGGTTATATACAAATACTGCACCATTTTATATAATCGATTTGAGCAACTGCAGATTTTGCTATCCAGTGGGATTCCTTGAACCCATCTACCAAGGGAGGGTACCAAGGGACCACTGTAGTACAAAGAAATTTCCCTGATGACAGGGTCCTTTAATATCTAGCGTATTTAAAAATTCTTGCTAAGATATACCACTGTGAAACTGCACTACATATGAAATAGAGAATTGCCTAAAATATTCCAGAGTGAAAAAAAATAAAGGTTATATGTA